TTTAAGCTTTGCTACATAAGGGACATGAATATTTAATGAATCATTCTTATTACATTTGCTTGCAATATTCAGCCATTGAAATTATCTGCCACTTCACAACATTGCCATTAACCCAACAAGTAAAGTGGTAACCTGGACTGTCCCTCCAAGGCTGAGGTCAGAAGATTACTGCCGTCTCTGGGGACGGGAGGAACAGAAAATGGGTACAAAACTGTTTCGGGTGCCCATGAGTCCTGCCTCCATCTCGATCCACAGGGCTTGACTGACAGTCACAGTGAAGACTTTAATGATTTCATTCAAGGCACAGAATCCCCTTACAGTACATGCCACGGCCACACCACCACCGCTAAAATATGGGCAGGAAGAGGAAACGATAACTAATAGAAATGAGATTGCTTCTATTTGCGACTCATCTTTATGTAGCTCGGGAGCGGCTACCTGCTAAATAATGAAAACTCTCCATTTTCCAATCAGAGGCATGGGGAGAAGTTGAGTTCCCCAGCCTGGCATTAATCACCTCATCAGACATCCCCCCACTCGGCACCGCTGCACCTCCTGTGGCACCTTTCCGACAGAATCAGGCATGCAAAAAGGGAAGAAAAAAATACAGACATGCATGCACTGCGCTGGACTGTAAACTGTAATTGAAATCGTTAGTCCCCTAATGGCACTGAGGCCAGGCTGAATGTCTGCAAAGAGCACGCCGCTCCCGAATAACCGAAAAAACCAAGAGTGGAGTGATGCTGATCAGGAGTGGGTCCAGACAGCAGCTATGCATATACAGTACAACATGTCATAACAAGTCATGACAGCCAATGACAACTCTAGTAGTAGAGTTTATCAAACCCTAGATATACACTGCCTGGCCACAAAAAGTCACCGTTTGAATTTAAATCAGCAAGTACTGTACTTACAGTAAGAGCCAATGATTGGATCATTACTACAGTTCAGCAACATTATGTAGCGATAAAGTGAAGTCAGCTGAGTACCTGAATCTCCGGAATGGCCAGGGTATCCCATCAATAGATTTTTCCTTTCCTAACAGCATGGGCATATTCCAGGACGATAATAATGCCAAGATTCATCAGGCATGAATTGTCAAAGAGTGGTTCAGGGAGCATGAGGAATCATTGAAACACATGATTTGGCCACCGCAGAGTCTTGACCTTAACCCCATTGAAAATCTTTGAGATGTGCTGAGGAAGACTTTACGGAGTGGTTCAACCTATCACCTATCAGCAATACAAATTCTCGGTGAGAAACGAATGCAAATTTGGATGGAAAAAACGTTGAGATGTTGCATAAGCACGTGGAAACAATGTACTGATATATTGATAACAATGTATTGATGAATCTGCACCATATTCAAAGCTAAAGGTGGTCCAATAGAAATATTGAAGTGTGGGTTTTTTTTGGCCAGACAGTGTAAAATAACATCACCAGTAATGTAAATTAATCCTGTTATTACATGAATTACACAACATTGTTATCATATTAAAATAGCTGAAGTTCGCTGAAATAAAAACTCCCGATGGTCGAAGGTGGATCTTCATGACTGGGTAGTAAACACACGGCCGGCTTATCCCACCTGTTTGGAGCACATCCTGACAGCAGAAGGATCCTGCTTCCTGGGGAACATGAATGTGAGGGGGGGGGGTGAAAGGATAAAGACGAGCGAGCAGATGTTTATGAGAATGTGCGCTGCCATGTGGAGAAGCACCAAGCAGGATGCGGCGTGGAGAGCCCGTGAGACGGGGACACGCTGCCATCACTCCGCTATCATCGCCAGCCTTTGAGGAGATTAACTACCATAACACAGATTCAGAAACAAACGTCCAAAAAAAAGATTTTTAGCTCCACATCAAGAACGTCGGGCCGAGTTAGTGACACCAAATTTAGCTCATAGTTACGAAGAGGGCTTCTGTGTATGTCTGCATGCATGTGTGCGTTTTACTGCCATGAAACAGTGGGTAAGACTTCCAGGGCGTTTGAGTGCTCACTATTTCTGACCCTGATGGGTATTTATAACATAACCATGATGCCAACCCACAATGTGGTTGTACACTGTTTATTTACTCATTTTGTGAGCTTCACTGTATGAAAATGACACACTTAAGGGTACCACTGTCCTGAAGTGAGCCTTCAGTCTTGATAGACCACAGTAAGCATTACAAGTAACCAATGATGGGGTAGCTAATCAAAAAAAGCTAATTAGTTATAAGTTACCAATGACTTCTTTCAATTGTAATGGGATTACTGTACTCGTTACTCATTCTGAAAAATAATTATACTATTTGTTACTTTACTTGTGATTTCTCTCTAAAACCACAAATTCCCCAATTTACCACATAAAAATACAAGCATAAACGCCATAGTCCTTTCACTAATTCATTTTCAATGCTTTTTGCGGACATGTCTTATGAAGTGCTTGGACAGTTTGCTCACCAAATTTGCCACAGTAGAAAGGTATTTCTGACCTGGTCATAGCATATATTTCACAGTAATATTCTTGTCTTTTTGTGCAGTAAACTGAAAATAATGAGTGCACTTTCATTTACTGAAATGCCCTGCCTCTTCTGACAAAAAAACACTCTTTTGAAAAAGCCTGTATAACGTAAGAAAGGACATTTTGATATTCCAGTATCTGTAATGTCATTACTGAAATTTTAACTGTAATGTTTTACTTTATTATGGAGGAAAGGAATATAATTTCAGTAACAGTTTACTTTGTAACTCATTACCCCCAATACTGCCTTAAGACTTCTTGGAAAAATCCACCAAATCAGAAATTTGTTGTAACCTGTGGACAAACACCTCTCCTCGGTTACCATAGAAACCAGTCCACGGAGAGGGAGGAACGCTCTATCTTCCACAGCATGTGACCAACTACGGCTCGAAACATGGTCCCACCAAGAAGCCAACTGCTGTGCTACAGCCAGCTCTGATGATTGGGTCTGGTTGGCTTCCGCTCCTGCTGGGGGGGGGGGGACTGGTGTGCTGTAGGAAGAATAGGCCAGCGGGGGCTGGTGACTCCCCACGATGCGTCATACGCAGTGAGTGGTGCTATACTGTCGGGAAAGGATCAGCTACGTTTAGTCAGCTAACTGGATTCTCTTCTTCGCATTTGTTGGTGTCTCCGCATAACTGCCACCAAGTTGCACTTTTCTGTTCTCCAAAGATGATTGGTTTGTCGGTGAACAAACCACGTTCAGTTCAGGAGAATCAGGGCTTTCTGGTCCTACAACATGCTTATAGACTGCATAGATTGCACAGCCCTATATCCAATAATGATGCCAATTAGGTAAGTTACATCACTGCTATTTTCAGACCAAAACATCCATTCTTCTCTCTGCTCTTTTCCCATAGTCACACCAATTATAACTGATGCATAGAGCACAGAGCACGTAAATGGATCCCAGTACAACTCAAACTCCCCAGACACCGTTGATACAATGTACCAAACAGGAAAGTCTTTAATGAGTTTTCAATATTCAAATATAAGCATTTAGAGAATGTCCAACGAAGGCAAAAAAATCACTGTTTTAGCTCATCATACCTGGGATGCTGTTACTCCACAGCATCCTGGAAAATGTAAAATAGCAAGGAAAAAGGAAAGGAAGAGCTCTTCTGCCTTCAATCACAGTGAATCACACATATAGCTCACAAACATATATGGCCATAATACATTCCCCAAAGACTAAATTACTGCACCAAAACAACAGAATGTTCTTGCCCAGCAAAGAATCGAAGTAACTTAAACATCTCTCATTGATCCTATGATATTGCATAAGATGTTAATGAGGATTTGCAGGTTAAATGTGTTACTCACTGCCTGGAGTTTAACTCCCTCCTGGTACAGCTGCAATTTCTTATCTTCTATCCTAAATGCTGACAATCTACTGAACATTTAGCAAGACTGCAATGATATAATTGAAAGCAAGTTTGCAACAATGAAACTGCAAGGAGTATGTAATTATATAATTAATACAAAAAATCTATAACGATGGAAAATGTGCTTCTTAGGGACAGGCAACAGATCCATGGGACACAGGACCCGGATAATGGAATGGGGGGAATTTTATCAACATCCTCGAGATACTAACAGCTCCACAATCCAAAAAAAAAAAAACCCCAACCTATCAAACCATTGCTCTCATTCTATCTCTCCCTTACAAAGTGAAAGCTAACTTTGAACCCTTAAAGCTGCTGGTGCTTGTTCCCTGACCTTGCCCCTCCTTCGAAATAAGTACACCCCAAAGGAACAGATTACAAACAACAATAATTAACAGATAAGATGCAGATGAATGCAGTTCCTTGTGACTGCTATGGGTTAATAAGTCAGCCTTAGGAAACGTTGTGTGGTTTCAGCGGCTGCATATCTGGGAAAGTCTGTTTGACAGCCTGTCACTGCACATCTTTTATCGCTGCATGATGCCACAGCTGCACCCTCTACATTTCTTCTTAAGTAATTGACTACACTGTGCAAAAATAAATGAATATATGAAAAGAACCAAATATATGCAAAGTACTGAATGCAATTACTCATATTTGTAAACAAGATTTACACAGGCAATCCAAGAATGACAAATTAAGTGTAATTACTGTAACCAATACAGAAATGCTTTAATCTTTAGCTCAAAACTCCAGCAAGAGTAATCTTTCTGGATGCTTCCTAATAAGTGAATTTCTCAGCCTCAGACACTGAGTCATTGGCGACCAATCACATGTTACCAAGGAGCCCCAAACACATCAGGAAGAACTTTGAAGAAACAGAAACATATGATGGGTCTCTCAGGTGTCACAATTCAGACAGGCTTCACTGCGGAGCCGTAAAGCAATGCCGCTCAAACCCAGCGCACCGCGTATCAGCTCTCATAGCTGCACCCACAACTGGGCTCAACACAAGCACCTCTGTGTCTGCTGGCGTAGAGCGAAGTGGCCCTCAAACATAACCCTGGCCTCCACCCAACAACACGTGAAAAGGCACCAAAGGGACTCACGAGAGCGTCTTCTCCAGCCGGCTGCCTTTGGAACCGATGATCTCCCCCAGGGTGCAGAATGTCTGTCCGAGAAAGTCCTGAGCAAACAGCGAGACTCTTTTAGGATAGCTTTGAATGTTCTAGCACAGGAGAACCCTATAATATTCTATGTCTCCATCTCCATGGAAATGTCACAGTGATTGCAGTATGATATCTGAGTTTATGTCTGGTTGTCACCCACCGCCCAGTGATTTAGGTTCTGTGGCTTCAGTTATTCTGCCCATTAAGATGATGTTATACCGTATCAGAATGATAATATTCTCTGATTATCGTCAGTCTGTGCCTTCTTAAGGACTGTGCTTTTTTGCAGTTCGGGGGCACGCGACTCTTGCCGGCATATCATCCACGCACAGCTTAGCACAAAAACCAGAACTACATTTCCAATGTATTCTGCATAAACATACAGGCCTTTCTGAGTGTGCGCGGCCGATATCATCCAATCACGACTTTTTTTTTATGTCTCAGACAGAACAAAGACCAACAGGTAGATGTGTTGAAACATATCGTGACGATAAAACTGCTAAACTGTGCCAGTGGTGAGGAGCACAACCTACATGGGGAAGGACAGCAGATTCACAATATTTCAATGGGCAATTTAAAATCAAGAGTAGAAAAGTAATGTTCCACTTCTGGGTGTTTTAGACGAAACAATCAAAATAATAAGCAGTAGATATACTGTAATAGCCCTGTTTAGGCTAAATTATGTCTCTGAAGACATAAGTACATATAATAACCCAACGTATGATGGGTACTGGAAATAGTCATTATTTTTGCTTCTCCTTATTGGTAGAAGTGAGATTAACATGCTGCAAACACATATGATGATATACACACACACATATATACATGCTATGCACATGTCTGTGTCCCAGCCCAGTCCTCAAGGACCCCCACACAGTCTAGGTTTTTCTCCCTGAGGTCTGGGTTGGGAAAGATTGGTCTAAAGTATACAATTTACAGTGTCACCCATTGTGCTATGCTTCTTCAATTTCATGAATGATATTCTCACCTTCTACTCATCCGCAAACGAACAGCAGGGGGGGAAAAAATTAGACCTGTTAGTCAAGCTCCTAGGGATAAAGATAGGAAAAGGAAAAAAAAATGAATTTGTTCTCATTTTGAGATGGTGAAAAAAATTCCAAAATAAGCAATTCGCCCACTTTTACTTTTCACCTTTATCCACAATGAACAGTAAGAGCGTGTCATGTTTTCCCTAAGGGAATCCCCTCCCCCACCGCGCAGACCGGGACACACTGAAAGCATCATCACAGGAGCTGCTAAAGCACCTCTCAGACAATGCTCTGGACTCCTGACCGACAATCTCCCATGGACACAGAATCATCGGAAAAGGTCAAGATTGTAAAGGGCCACCCTCACACGTAAAGCTAGACATTTTGGCATTAGTGTAAATGGGTTGCCTTGACTTGTAAAAGCCAAATAATGTTTAATTAGTTAATTTCATGCCCTAAATTACTGCATTTCACAACATTACTAAAATCATGCCAAATAAAGACGGTTAATGGTTGTTAATGTTCATTGTTAGTGTTCCCTATGTGGTAATTACCGACATTTGGTCGTAATAATTAGTGACCCTTTGAGTGGGTAGTTTGGCATTTTCATATTTTGTATTTTTTCTGAAACCTTCGATTTAGAATACAATCTGCTTTTTAACCCGTATTTGTATTTTGTTCATGGAGGATGTTTCCTCATAGTCACCAAAAATTCAGGCTGATGCCTTGACAGAAGAATATACAGGGGTACTCATACTGCTAATCAGTTAGACAAAGGTACAGTTATTAATTAGACAGAGAAAAACAAATCAAAGATGCTTACATGTTTAGAAATGTTTGAACTTCTTGAGTCCACATTGTATCTAAAAGCACAAAAAGAAAGACAAGTTAAGATAAAAAGCAAAAACAAAAAATCACACCACAGTAATCTTCATCACCCACGCCAATTATCAAAAAAGCAATTGATGTTTATCAACTTGAACATTGCTGTTTGAGCCTGACATCACAAATCTGCTATGGGTTGTATTGCTATATCATTATGTACTTGAGAAATAAACAGTTCCTTTTTAATTAATTTCACGCACCAGTGAAAGAGAAGTAATTAAAATGGTTCCCTTCATCCGTGGAAAACTCCCATCTGCAATAACCCTTATCGTGACACTTGTGCTCCAAGAGGCTATCCTTGACATTCAACCAATCCACTAGTTTCTCGAACCCTGTAAACAACCAATACTGTGCTACAGTCTCATGTTGATCCTTGAAATTTGTAAAGTGGAAAAAACAATTTATTAAAGAAAGCTGTTCGTGTCAAACCAGATGTCCCCCCCCCCAAGTCATGTAGAGATATTAACCACACCTACCCATGTCTCGTCCATACGTTTGATTTAAGGGTCAAGACCACGATTAATCAAATATTATTAGGCATCTTAATGAAATTATGTTTCATTTTTGTGTGACACATATAACATTAGCATCTCTAGAACTTCTTTAACATTTCAACAATTTCAACATATCAAAGTTTATGGTCTCCATTTTCTATTGCATTGCCCAAATTAAAGTGCTTTTCCACTGGCATACAGGAACCGACCCGTATCCAAGACGTACCGCGAAGAGAGACTAGTTACAGCGCGGGTCCAGCTTGCTTCAGTTTTCCACTGCAGAAGGGTCGACTTGGTTAAGGTATGGCCAGGTTTGGAGAGCGAAAGTAACGTAAAACCAAAGAGACGCTTATTTACTGTTTGCACAATGTACATCATGATTTACTATGTACAATTATTATTATTATTTTTTACTGTGTGCTAATTTCCACTAGCACATCTGTGACAATAGCTGTGTTATGCAAACATCAAACGCTAGCAGAATTAGCATTCACTTGCATAAATTTGCATTACGAATCCATTCTATTTAGCTGTTCTATAGTAGAAGTTATCGGGAATGCAACAATATATCGCAATGTGTGATATTACTAAAAATGAATACATAAAATATACCCTTTTCTTTCAGATAATCCATGTGCAGAGCAGCAGTATGTCCGTGACTTTCAAGCAGTCAGATGGTGGTGATGCAACCAGCTTGGTTTGGTTATGCTACTGGCAGGACGCTGTCAGCTCAGCTTGGGTACGGCTCCCATACTTTACAATGGAAAACCGCCAGTTCAAGGTACGGTTCAGTTCTTGGTGGCAGTGGAATAGTTTTCCTATTATCCTATAGAACAGACTGATTTTTTTTTCCATTTATTTGATAACCAATTGATTGATGAATTATTCTCTCTGAAAGGACGGTATTTCTCTCCCCCACACTTTCTGTCATGGTGTTCTGAACCAAGGAAAGTCCACAAACTAAACTGCGAAGGAGTATTAGGCACAATCAAAGAGTTCCTGTTGAATTTTTAACATAAGTACCATTCAACACACACACACGCACACACAAAATCAAGTTAGAGTTGCAACGTGTACCCTATACTTATTCATCTGTAGTGTAATTCTATTGAGTTTAAAATATATAAAAAAAAACATATTGAAGTTTTCAGCACCAAAAACTTCTCTTTAAAGGTGTTACATAACCAGGCTATGCTAAGAATATGATTTACAAAACAATATTGCCAGACTGTTATGTGCAGAAAGAAGATTTGCTGTATTGAAGTAAAGTCTGAAGTCCTTCTTTTCCTCCAAGCTATGCACAAACTCTCAAGTTGAAAATTCGTAAACATTTTTAGACTTTTGCCCGATGCCCCATAATGGGTTATTTCCTGCCTCGTTTCCGGAACGGGCTCCGGACTCCCGTGATCCTGCACAGGACAAATGGGTACAGAAAATGGATGGATGGATGGATGTTCAGACTTTCATCCCAGACTTTTATATAATAGTTTTACATGTTATAAAATATTTTGTGTTTCAAAAAATACCTCTCAATTCAATTTTAAGTATCAGGTTCTTCTGCCTGAGATAGATGGAGACCATGTGAATCACCCTTTTTCATAAGAAGCTGACACCCAATTAAAATGAATAAATCTAAGAAATCTCCTAATATCCCTTAGAGTTTCACTCACAGTAAGGAATATCAAATGAGCCTTTGTCCGTGAGGCATGTTTGCCCACTTCACATCACGTGGCAATAGGCAGGTAGGTTCAGCTCTGTCTGGTTGAAGAGAACAGGAAAGACGTAAGTGTGGCCATTATGCTGAGGTCTGTTTGACAAGAAAGTCATTACATGTCAGATTGCTAGACACAGCTGCACTGTGTATATAAATTTCCCTCTGTCTGTACTACTCTCCTCTTCACTCCCACAATCCACCTCCATCTTTCTGAGAAGAGCAAAAACTTAGTTTTGCAGTATCTATTAATCGCATAGGTAGCTCTGAGAATGTTCCAGAAAAAAAAACAGCATTTACCACTGCAAAACAATAAACTTACCTAAAATCTTGAAGTTACCTAAGTTTTACATGATATACACCACAGGTTTTACCACTTGTCCATTTATTTCATAAACTGCAGATTTTGTATTCTTATTAAGCATTGGAAAGTTGAGTGAACAACTATAAATATTAATATAAGCCAAATAATACAGGTTTCCTTTATAATACGGAAAGAGTATATAACTGTGTATGTCTGACATCCTATTAACTGTCTGTGCGATGATGGCAGTCACATTCTAGGCTGTCCTTTAACTTTAAATGCACTAGTTAACTGTTTCATCCCATGAAATAGAGCAGTATTTAATGTCCATAGTAGAAAGAATGGCTCAGATTTTCTCTGCTGTTATAACTGCTAGAGGAGGTTACTTTGGTGAATCAAAGATGACATTTTCTTACTGTCAATTTATTTGTGAGCAAAGAATATTGAGTGTATTTTTAGTAAATGTTAAGTGAGTAACATGCAACTGTAGAAAATCCCAGAATGTGCAAAAAATGTTGACTGGAAGTCTATCATTATATAACATACTGTAATAATGTAATTCAAGAAAACATCTTAGGTACACAGATACACGCACACAACTGTAGATGATAAGTCATGCATATTTGTTTCTTGTTTCAATATTTCATTATGTTAAAGACAGTAGTCTTTCTCTAGCTAAGCAAAATTCTCTTTTCACTTTAATGCCAGGTATCAAAGTCACGCCGCCCACACAGAAGGACCTGGGGTTCTATCAAACAAGACCAGAGACGGCCGTTTTGGGAACCAACTCTGTGATGTCACAACTGTTCGTGATTCATCCATATTGGTCACTGCAAATGTTGAAATATTCCAGATTACTAAACGCTGCAGTGAAATAAAGAAATAAATTACATTAGCTGTGTGTTCCACAGACACACTGGTCTGTGCATAAACATGACCTGTGCTGTGAGCAGGGGCGCCGTAAGGGGGAGGAAAGCTAGGACGATTCCAAGGGCCCCTGAGTGACAGGGGCCCTAAAAAATTAGGAAAATAACTGGATTGGTTTGGACTGGGGGGCCTAATATGATATGCTTTCATGGGGCCCAAAATCTCTAGCAACGCCCCTGGCTGTGAGACTGGAGAAATGCTAGTGAATTCAGAGAGCAATAAATCACTGTGGAAATATGCCAGTGTCTTCTTCAAAAGTATCATTTTTTCTGAAGTGGCATGAAATGGATTGATGGATTTTAAACTGGAACTGATTGGAGGTATTTACTTGGACACTAATACACACCTTTGGTGATTTCCAAAGAAGATTTATTTTCTGCTTGTTTCAGCACATTATGCTTAACAAGAGAGAGAAAACACATACATATACATCACCATAACCTGTAAATGTATTGCTGATGAAGCTCAGACTATCCAGTATTAAGACTCTACTCATTAAATTGAAAAAAATAATTCATTTCTGCATCACATCAAATGTGATCTGATCTTCAGGGCATATGGAGAAAAAATAATACAGATATAATCATTTCACCTAACCTTCTGAATCTTTAAGCATTTGCGTCAAACAAGAATCGCCTGGCAAATCTTGACTAGCACTGATGCCACAGAGAGAGCTGCATTTCAGTCATTTTGTTAGATGTGTAACACACTTAAAAAGAATCCATAGACGGTGGTAAAGTACAGTGATGCAAAGGCAGCTAATACATAAATGAATGCGAAAATGGTTTGTTTGTGATTATGAAAGTACTCTTGAAAACGAATGGAATGTATCGAAGATTAAAGCGAGCAATGCTGAATCTATGGGATGCTTCTGAAGACTTTGGGAGCTTTGAGGAGTTTTAAGGACAAAGGCTGGGAAAAAATCTTGTGGGTGAGCAGCTCAGGGGGTAAGTAGCCAGAGTGTGGACTTTGTCTGAGCGTCTCTGAAACTTAATCCCTCTTCATAACCAGGTTTGGTGCTGTCAATGGACGTGTATAATATCTTAGCAAACCATCCATTTCATACAACAATGCAGCAACCAGAGTGCTGCATCTCCGCATCAAGCAGGTGGCCTGTTTAGCACCACCTAGAGAGGCCAGTGTCACAGACCAGTGTCCCCACCACCGACTGTAACATTACTGAAGGTAGCACTTAGCTTGCTTTACTGAACTCAATACTTTTGCTCTTTGTACAGCTATGCCCATGCTCTCACATCTTAGCTACGAGCACCGACACAATGGACATGTAAAACAGGGTGCCAGGGAATTTAAATACCAATGGGTTTACACTGGTGTACAAATGCAAGGTATTTTCTTGTCATAGCAGCGCAAATGCACATGAATAAGTACGCATTAGCACTTTTACAATTAAACAATCGGTTGTCGCACGTATCGCTCTTAAAGGCGAAAGCGTACTTGCGTACCATGCAGTTACGTGCACCCCTGTTTATAATGTCTTTCTTGCATTTAATTTTATTATAAAAACTGTACACATTCCATCAATTTCCACAGATTTAAATGTTTAACATTCGCTTTGAGCTCCACCACCTCCTTCGCTAACTAGGTCGGGTGATGACCTACATCAGAACTACATACTGAGTTTATTAAATATTCAGCGGTTACTCAAGGGCCCTCCCTCAGTTGATTTGGTTGCTTTAATCGCAAGCTGTGCCGGCACTTACTTTTGGGAAGGGAATCCCTTATCAAACAGAAGAGCCAAGGAAAATGTGAGTGTCCGGCCTTCCTCTACTAAAGCAGACAGTGCTGAGAATCAACACGGCAAGACGCAGCATCACAGAGATTCCCCCTTTCTAAAACAACCAGGGGGTTGACAAGCCTCGGGGCACTTAACCGTGCGCCAAAATCCACGCAAGCACAATCTGTTTTATTCATTGTGTTGAAATTAGCTTAGATTTAAATCATTCAGTGTTGAAATACATAAACAAAAATTCCAAGGAGACTCTCCCCAAAATAGTATTTACTTTTTGCCACCGCTACATTTTTCAGCACATGGTGCCTCAAACAGAACAAGAAGCATGAAAGACAACAAGGCTGGATGCACATAATTGTTGAGCAAACACCAAAATGGAACATTTTTCAGGGGACATCATTAACAGCATGTCTATTTTTGAACATTGAAAGCTTCCTGCTGTGACCCTTGATTGATAAAAAGATTACATCAGCACCACTGTGTCATTGCCATGACAACAGACAAATATATAACCTCTATTTCTTATAATAAAGCTAATAATATGAATGGCACACCAAAGTGTAACAAAAATACTGGATGGCTGGTAATCAGACATCCACAATAAGATAAGGAGACACATAATTATCTACATCCTTAAGGAAAATCTTTTTCTCCCATTGACCTTCCCTAATTTGGAGAAGTGAGCCCACAGCAGGACAATTCAAGTCTCTGTTAGACAGAGGCAACATTTCTTAGTGGTTTTGTATTTTCTCTGGATCAGGGATGAACAAAAGTTATCTCATTCCTAAGTTTAGGACTGTGCTGTGTTCCTAACGTCAGATACAGACATATTTCCAATCCTTGGCTTGCCTTTAATCAGTTATCTATTTTTTACTAAAAGTACAATAATATTCACAAAGCTTTTTTTCATCCCTGTCCGAAGTTTCCTCTGTACGGTGTTTCTGCTGTGTTATTTTTAACTTTAAGGAACGACCCGCAGTATCTTGTGGCTGCATTTGCAGCAGCACTCATGTTTAATCCCCTTGTAACATGGCTTCTGTGGTGCCCTGAACTCCATCACATCAGCCTCCCGGCTTGACTTGAGCCTCATCAGCCCAGTGACCACTTGATGCAGAGGGCAAAAATTCCTGGTTTATTAAAAATCAAGGAATGTGCCAGGAAGTTACTGTATTACAGACCTGCACGGTAGTCAGGAGTCTATTCAATGCTTCTGCACATGTGATTACCATAAACAGTATTCCCCTAATATCAAAGCAATACCCTTTCTCCTTTCTTTGCTGACCTCCTGAATTAGATAGCTTCATTGAAAAAAGGATTTTTCATAATTCTATCAAAAAATCTGAAGTGTGTGACTCCTAAAATAAAATGATTACTCTGTACAGAAAATACTATAAGCATTTCTGCTGATTTAGGAAAGAAATTGTCATATGGAGGCAGCACAAATGTCACTGAAAATCGATACTTAATTATGTTATGTATCTCATATACTCAAAATAAATGGATGGGTAGATGTCCCACAATATACAGTTAGGTTCTCATGGAATACAGTAATTGCATTGTCATCTAGTAGAGATACTGTAGCAGTTAGTGAGAACTAAGACAGTTATTCAGAGATATACATTATAAGCCTATTTTGCTATTACCCCAGTTGAAGAAGCAGTTAAATGGAGTATGTAAGTGAAATCTGTAGCATGAACCGTAAAGCCTCGGGGGTTATGCTAGAATTCTATTTCCAGACATGGAAGAGCATTATTTTTGTAAAGGAGGGGGGGTGGGGTAAGCATACCTACGTTAAAGCAAACACTGCCATTCACACCACTTTCTGTGCACAGAGTGGACTTTAAGAGCTGCATAGCCACACAGCTTATTTTGAGAGGTAGACCCACACTGTCTTGCCAACTTTCTCAGGGAAGGATTTGCATGCAAAAGGCTGCGGTCTTTTTCACGTGTCAGTTACTTACACATCAAAGCGCAGATTCTGTTTCTCTTCGAAGAAGTAGTCCAAGACAAACTTTCTCACAAAGTCCGGGTTTAGGGTGTTGTCGATTACTTCTGTTCTGCCAAACTAGGAGGAAGAAAGGAGAAGGAAGGTCACCTTAAAAGAGGGCCACTGTGATCTTGTCATTGTTTGTGCATCCTGTACCGTCAACGTCACTGGTATCTCTTGGCCTGGATGTCCTGCCTCCGCCACGCAGATACAAAGTAACATCGTGTGAAAGACACTTTACTAGACAGGAACCTATCAGTCTTGTTGTCAGATACTAATCCCAATTGTCCAGAAGAAGTGCAGAGCTCTGACAGCGAAAAGTAATGAGCTATTGATCTCAGCACTGACTCCAAACTTGGCTCACAGCCTTGCAGCTCAGGCCACCTAATCCCTGCAGTGTTTTCCAATGAACTGTCAGACATTCCAGGTGAGTTTACTTGGACAACATAGGCTATTGACAACAAATCTCTTGTGAATCATTTGCAAGTGTTTCTATTTTGAGAACCTGTTATGTAATTGGCTGAGTTTGGGAATGTTTAGGAAAGTGGGGGGGGCACAATATGTTCAATATCAATTCAGTCTCCTCATATTACTATATTATTGTCAGGTGAATAAAAATAAGGAAGGCCTACATACTGTATCTATGGAAAATAAAACTTTCTGGAATTAATTGTGTGAGAAAAAAAACAGTCTAGTGGGAGAAAATACAGATATTCCTCAAAGATTTCTACCTCTTCAATTAAGCATAAAAAGCACACATATTTACGCTGTTTGCCTCTCTCTCTCTCTCTCTCTCTCTCTCTCTCTCTCTCTCTGTCAGAAGTTCCCTGTTTCGCTAAAGACTCTTAACATTACAGTGATGTGCATTTCAAGAGACTCCCTGGACGGGCACAGCCTTCCTATGAGAGCCCGGACTATTACAGGTGATGCTGGAGAATCTCCACTCCTGCCACATACAGCCTTGACATAAAAAACACGCTTTCATCTATAAATCTAATAGGCGTTACTGTAGAGAAAATTACTTTTGTCTTTCTTGTTCCATTTCTAGCTTCCCATCAGATGAACACGAGGCAGACAGTAAGTTAGAGAATGGAAGCTTTTTCCAATGGACACGTTCTCTGTTCAGATCCTGAGAAGCCAGAAACGTGAGAACAAAGCAGAATAGAAAAGCACCACAGTCTGTTCTTATGGAGCCTCTCTCCTGTGCTCATTTCTACAGAGCTAGATGGCTATTTCCTCACTTCGGGACCAATCTAATCTTGCCGGGCTTCATTCCCCAATTCCTGGATTGTCTGGATTCTGCCACCATGTAAGGCACTGATGGGTTTTGCAGATAATGAAAAATGAATCCTTATTAGGATTTATTATGTTTCTGCTGGTATCTTTTAGTCTCATCCCACTAAATGAGTAATTTCAACATAAGTAAGATGACCTTACTGTTCATCTGACATTTTGTAAAGAATGGAAATTCATGTATTTCGCTAACAATGTATTCAATACAAATGCATTCAATAGTTGCCTGTTAGACTTTGTGATCCTTGATTTGTTACATAATAGTGGCATTATGATCTTTGATATTCAGGCTTATTATTGTGCAATATGAGTAAGTCCTGGGTCATCCCAGTGGATGGCTGAGTTGATCGTAGATTGTGCTCGTCACCTTTCGTATGATGCAGACAGGCTGGTAGAGAGGAAATGCCCAACTGTCAGCTTAAAGGTCTGAGTAAACCTGCTGTGTAAACTGACGACCTGCTAACTCTTGAGCTTGTCATTTATGAGAAAAGCTGTTTTGGCAAATTTACATTATATATATACTGTATATATATATATATATATATATATATATATATATATATAGACACAGACACACATATGTCTGGCCACTGTACATGCTGGATTCCAAAGGGGGTAGAAAAGCTTTTTTTTAAAACGTCATTACAAAACGCAGTTGGCTTCCGTTCTGTGACCATTTTTAAAAGCTACCCCCCCGCCAGGCCCGTGCACATCTACGGCCAAGGTAAAACCGGGAACCTGGGAGGGGAAAATAAATTTGAGTGACTTAGTACAGAGCATAGAAGTGGGGAGAAAACAGCTACAGCATTAGCTGCTAAGTCTGGAAACCCCCCCCCGGGCCGGAACCAGTACGTCCAGCAGCACAGTGGGCACCCTGCTGTGTCATACGCCAGCACAGGGTCAGAATTATAGGTACCACTAACTAATTTGCTACTGTGAGTAAGAAGAGACAATGAATGAGGTCATTGGCAGACTCTGATATGTGTGAGATGCAGTACATGTACTTCCATTTAAAAAATATTCATACATTTCCAGGAAGACAACTTGCTTGCTGCTTATTTGTAAGCCTCTGGTTAAGACTTAATGTCCTGGTTGTTGCACATTAACAAGGCTGGAACCCATCCAGGCTCCCGCTGGGAGGGAGCACATGCTGGGCGATGCTGCAGATGGAGCTCGACGAGGCCCCCGCCTTCACAGGCCACCCGGCACTTTGACGCGCTCGGGCTTTTCCTAATTCTGATTAGCTGACACATCTGCAAGCTTTTTTTTCATCCCTGTCCAAAGTTTCCTTGGTAAGATGTTTCTGCTGTGGTTGTTTGTGCTGAAAATCTTTGAGCAAGTGGTTTAGTTTCGCCATTAATAGATTGCTGTTGGGAAAAGTTGAAGGTAAACGAGGAAGATGACGACCACGGAATATAGTTTTGCCAAAATTACTGATACTTTTGTAGTTTTTTTCAGATAATGCACCAGTTCTCCCACAAAAGTATCGATATTGCAAATATTTTATGTTAACATATGCCAGTCCTTTATTTCCATTAGAAAAACAGAAAAACATTGGAAGAATGTCAAATGTGATCTTAAGGGAAAAAAGAAAGGGAATGCTTCCCTGAGTCACAAAAGTTCTACCAATCCTTATATCCTTATTAAAATGCAGGGTGTCATCAGATTGGGCCTCTGAATACCATAAAAAACAAGTAACTGAGGCACTCCTGCTAAGTTTTAAAAGCCTTTATCTAACACTGGCTATATACAGTACCTACACGTTTCAACTAGTGAGTCTTCATCAGGGCATCATGCTTGGTCAGGACATCATGCTTTATCAGAGCACCATACTGCATCAGGACATCATGCTTCACCTGGACATCATGCCTGATCAGGACATCATGCCTCATCAGGACATCATACTTCACCAGGGCATCCTGCTTCATCAGGACATCATGCTTCACCCGGTCATCGTGCTTCATCAGGACATCATGCTTCACCAGGGCATCCTGCTTCATCAGGACATCATGCTTCACCAGGTCATCGTGCTTCATCAGGACATCGTGCTTCACCAGGTCATCGTGCTTCACCAGGACATCGTGCTTCATCAGGACATCATGCTTCATCAGGACATCATGCTTCACCAGGTCATCATGCTTCATCAGGACATCATGAGAGGTTTTTTAAACTTATATTTACAGTTCCTTGTTTTTTTTTTCAAATCTAATCTTATTTCACAGAGAACCTGAGACTTAATATTTGTTAGTAAATCCTTTAACAAAAATAACTGCAAGCCAGTACCTCCTGTAGTTATAAATTCTTGCACCTCTCCACTAGAATTTTGTGCCGCTGCTATTTTGCAAATTGCTGCAGGTCTCCTAGATGTGACAGGGCTTTTCACATCTCTCCACAGGCGTTCTATGGGATTGAGATCAGGATTCATTGTTGGCCACTTCAAAATAGTCCAGCACTTGCTTTAAAATCATTTCTGGGTGCTTTTGAAGTGGGCTTTGGATTGTGCATTGTCCTGTGATCCGAACTTCGACAAAGACCAAGCTTTCTGACACCAGGTCCTACATTGTTCACCAAAATGCCTTGGTAACCTTCCGATTTCATGATGCCATGTATAGTTTCAAGGAACGCAGTGCCAGGGGCAAAAAAGGCAAAACATCTGTCAGCCTCCTGCATGTTTGACTGGGTTACTGTTCTTTTCTTTGAAAGCTTCCATTTGTTTTCTGTGAGCGTAATGCCAATATACTAATTTGGTCTCATCTGTTCAGAGTACATTCTCGGAGGGGGATTTTGGTTTGTTCAGGGGTGTTTTGGTGAAATTCAGACTGGCATGGGGGGGGGGGGATGGTTGGGGTGTCCTCCTGGATCTCCTACCATAGAGCCCACTATCATTATTTAAAATGCTTATAAACTGCCAGCATTTGCAATTTGTTACCTTTGAGTTTAAATAAAGATTAAAACAGGATCACCGGCTTGAAATGCAATTGCGCCAAATAAGTTAAAAAAGTTCATCATAACTTTGCCAATACCATTTTTGGCATTCTAGCTTTGCCAGTTTTTCTGTTGTTCCACTACAAATAAATGAAATTCATGTTAATGCCAAAATATTTGTAATGTCAACAACTTTGTGAAAGAACTAGTGCATAATCTGAAAAAAGTGCAAGGTGCCAGTATTTTTGGCTACAACTGTAGATCAATATAATAATGAGCATTGAAACAAGATCTAGGAGGAACATAATCTATATGCTATCAACATTGACTGAACTACACGTAATAATCATAGGAAAAACCCCAATGTAGCATCCTGGGGAGCGATCGGTGGCCACCTGTATCCATGCCCCTTGCTAAAACACAGATCTTTTTTTAGCATCTGTGCCCCCCCCCCCCCCCCCCCCCCCCCCCCCCCTCCCCCCGCACACGGCAGTGGAAACACGACTGGCTGTGCAGGCAAACTCATAAACTCATGGTAAATATCACAGAAATAGACAGCTCTTTTTATAAAGAGGAAGCACTGGACAGAAGGGGAGAGAGAGAAAGAGTGAGTAAGGGAGAGAGACTCCTTAATGCCCATGTAGCTATTGATGCATTTTATGTATATACTTTATGCACACTGCTCAAAAAATTTGAAAACACATCAGATCTCAATGGGGGAAAAAATCATGCCGTATATCTATACTGATATGGACTGGGTAACGTGTTAGGAACGAAAGGATGCCACATCGTTTGATGGAAATGAAAATTATCAACCTACAGAGGGCTGAATTCAAAGACACCCCAAAAATCAAAGTGAAAAAATGATCCGGTAGGGTGGTCCATTTTGCAGAAATTTCATCGTACTCAGTAGTTTGTATGGCCCCCACGTGCTTGTAGGCATGCCTGATAATGTCGGGGCTGCTCCTAATGAGACGACGGATGGTGCCCTGGGGGATCTCCTCCCAGATCTGGACCAGGGCATCACTGAGCTGGACAGTCTGAGGTGCAACCTGGTAGCGTCGGATGGACTGAAACATAATGTCCCAGAGGTGTTCCATTGGATTTAGGTCAGGCGAGCATGGGGGCCAGTCAACGGTATCCATTCCTTCATCCTCCAGGAACTGCCTGCATACTCTCGCCACATGAGGCCGGGCATTGTCGTGCACCAGGAGGAACCCAGGACCCACTGCACCAGCGTAGGGTCTGACAATGGGTCCAAGGATTTCATCCTGATACCTAATGGCAGTCAAGGTGTCGTTGTCTAGCCTGTAGGGGTCTGTGTGTCCCTCCATGGATATGCCTCCCCAGACCATCTCTGACCCACCACCGAAACGGTCTTGCTGAACAATGTCACAGGCAGCATAATGTTCTCTGCAGCTTCTCCAGACCCTTTCACTTCTGTCACATGTGCTCAGGGTGAATCTGCTCTCATCTGTGAAAGGCACAGGGTTCCAGTGGTGGACCTGCCAATTCTGGTATTCTATGGCAAATGC